TTTTATAAATTTTAAAACAATATTTTTATAATTAGTTAAAAATTACTCTAAAAAACATCAAACATCTCCATCAAAAACATTTATTTTTCATTTCTTATTTATTGCTAATCCCTCTAAAAGCTATAAACTTCATTGATATGTATGAGAAACTGTACGACACCTTAAAATTACAAAATAATTATCGAAGCATTTCTAGAGAAATATGACAAAAGTGAAGTTAGTGCAGAATTATTAAAACAATTTTATACTATTTCGTTTTTTTTCATCTAATTCGATTCTATACTAACATAATTCTATAATAACACATTTAACTCATTTTGTCCAACATGACATACACATGAATATTTGAGCTTACCTTAAAAGCAATTTATTTCTTCTTTTTTGTATATTCTATTTATTTGTTAAATACTATCTTCTAGTATATGCTAGTTAAAACTTGTTTTTTGCTTTAAAAATAGTATTTTAAATCAATTACATCGACTTTGACTAGGATTTCAATTGGATACAGTTTTTCTAATATATATATTAAACAATAGACTAATATTATATAGAATTTCGTATATATTTAAGCATTTTTCTCCAGATCATATGATTGGCAATAGAACCAGGTTCATCGTTAATACCTTAAGTTGAATGTAGTTTGCAAAATAATAGCTTGATTTTTCTAATTGACTTTCATCTTCTTGTTACGTAATTATAAGAGAATCATATTATCACGGTTTATAATAAAACAGAACAATAACGTTGATAATTATTTGAATGATAATTATTATAATATTGATCATTATTGAATGACAATTATTTAAAAATATAGTATAAGTTACTTTTAGATAGAACATTAAATTATATACAAGGTAACGATTTTACTAAATGGAATACTTAGAATAAATATCTGTATTCAAATTTCCAGATCTACCGTAACGAGGGTAACGAAAAAAACACAATAATAAATTTTTTTAAAGAAAAAAAATTTAATAAACATTTATTTATGCATTACACAAGTTTTTATATTTGATAGTACTCAAAGTGTCGTAAATAGTTTGTATAAGTAAAAAACCAAATCTTTAAAATGTAAATGAAATCTTTTAAATGTAATGGGAAAAAAAATCTTTAAAATGTAAAGAAACTCCATAAATTTTTTTTAAAGAAGATGCTTTTAACTTTCAATTGAACTTCAATTTAAAATTTTTTTTTTTCGTCTAAGAGAAAATATTCATTTTTTTTTAAAATTGCTATTTGTATTATTCAATAAATATACTTTAATTTTTTCCATGATTTTTCTTATTATTTGAATTTTTTCCTCATATTTAAAAAAAAATGCAACAAGCTTTAAGTTTTTCAAAACACAATTGATTTATTTCTGAGTGTTTTATATTATGGTTTATCAGTTAGGATGAAAATATTCCAATCCAATACTAATAAATTGATTTTAATCATATGTTGGATCTCTACTAATATATTAAACATGCATTCAAAAACGTCGATGAAAAGGTGATATTGTGAAAGAGAATAAAACTGCTTCATCAATTTGTTTTCCATTCTCATTTATTTTAAATTTAAGATGCCCACCAAAAATATGTTAGGCGAGTGATGTGTATTCAAATCAGCAGAGGTGTACTGCAAACCAGCAATTGAACCATAAATTAAGAGGAATGTTCTTTTTTATTATTAGGTATGAATTATATTAAATAAGTTTTTTGTCGTTTAAATAGCCGAAAACGCATTATTTCGTCACAGCAAAATACATGTCTTTATTAATAAAAACGATCGGGGTATGATTATTATCGAAATAACCAGAAGTTTTTAAAAAGAAAAAAAAACTTGCAAAATCAAAAATACATCAATGCATTTCATAACAAAACTAAGGTTTGCATCCTACGATGGTCTATGCAAGAACGAATCAAACATCCTCTTTTTTATTTTCATATAAAAGTTGTTTTTATTTGCAATAAAAATTAAACTTATTTTTCGATTGCTAATTTATATTTTTAAAAAAATATATTTTAGCAAATACAATTAGAAGAATAAGTTTTATTTGAGAACTCCAATTTTTTTGGCATTGTACTGATTTCTGTACTTTTACAGATTTTAAAAAGAAAACAAATTTTTAAAAAAAAGTGGATGATTTTTATGAGTTAATAATTTTTCGATTCACTTTTCGAATATAAATGTTATTGAAAAAACTAATTTGGTCATTCATAAGTCAAAAAATTGACACTTTCATTTCTAATATAAAATATACCCAATTATTTCCACCACTGCCAAATAGCGAAAATTAAATAAAAGTATAACGAATTAAATTTATAAACAAATAAATTTATAAACAAATAAAAACATACAATAAAGCAAGATATCAAAAGAAAAAAAAAAGGAAAAAGTAGATGCCATTATTAAAAATCAGGATGATCTCTCAGTAATTCCTGCCAAAAACATTTAAAGAGATCCTTATTACTAGCACCTGCTGTGTAGAGAGAGTCTGCTGCTGCTTTCCCCTTATCATTCTCTAATTTCCATACCTTTTTTTCTCCTTTTATTTTCTCTCCCTCCCCCTCTTCATCTTTTGGCACACTTTTCTTGCTCTTTAAATAAATCTACCTTCCCCACCCCTCCCACCTTTGTGACCCACCCAATTTGTGGATTATTAACGAGCTCTTTTTAAACACAGTTTGTTTACAGGAAGATTATGCCCGCCGTTTTCTTGTAGCTTCGGCCGCTACACGACACTTAAACGATTTCCTCCCTCCTTCCACCCTCTCACTCCTCCTCCCCCCCACTTTGTTCCTTCAACTCATTTAACAACACCTCCCCCGCATTCCCCCGGCCTTTTAGAAAAGAGAGTTGGGGGGCGATGAAGGGGGATGCAACATAAAAAATCTCCCCCCCCCCCAAGAGCGGTGATCCATAATTCCTTTGGTTTAGCCCTAGTACTTATAATTTGCGTAAATTGTTTCTTCTTAGTTTAGTTCTTAGAGGTTTTTAAATGTTCATCCGATGATCGGTTAAAGTTTAATATTTTTTTTTTTAGTTTGTATTATTAATTCTTCATCTAAAATGACTTTGCTTAGATTATCAATTTACTTTTTCTTTTTTCATAAGAAAAAATGAAATTCGCTATGACATATTAAATGTGATTCAAAATGTACCAAATGTCACGATTTTTTTAAAATAATATTACTGCATAAGGGTGATAATTTATCCTTTTTTTTTAAATTATAAATTAACGCAATTTAGGTATAGAACACATCCAAAATCCCTTTTTGCGATAGTTTTATACAAGGATTAATTGTCATAATCTTAATATCACCGCCAAATGACATATTGCGGAACTTTACAATTTAATGTGCGGTTTAAAACCGAAATATTTATAAAGTTTTGCTAGGACGCGTAAACTAGGAATCAGTCTGCAAAACAAAAGTTTAGAATTCTGTATTCAAACCTGATGTGATATTTTAAGTTTTTGCACTTACGTTATTGTATATTTAATAAATAATTAAAATATTAAATATTTTAAAATGATGATCATTGCAGGTGATCTCGTTATTATGTTTATTATTTATGCAATTAAAAAACATTGTAATTGCTATAATCATAAAAAGTATAAAATTAAAAAATTTCATTTAATACAAAATGTAACATGACTGTTTAATATATGTGATATTTCTCCGAATCTATTTTCTTTAAACTATCATTTTTGATATTCTTATCTTATCTTTATTTTATTCTTACTCTTTATACCGCAAAAAATGTACAGTAGTTACTTCAAATATCATATAATTTCGTAAGAGAAGCAAACTTTCTTTGAATGAATAGCGAACAAACTAAATCAGATGAAAATAAAATCTTGGAAGTTCCTTTCTGTAAATAATGCTTTTCTGCAACAGCAATATAGTGGGAGAAAAGACGCATTTACAAACCAGAATAGAGTAAATTTTTTTCTTCTGTTTTCAGTTGCAAAACTTAATTTTAAACAATCTTTTTTAATAAATTATTGCACAGAAACTGCATTTTTTTAGATTTAAATAGTGGGTAAAAACATGTAAATTGCTAACTTGAATATTTTTATTTAAAAAATATTAAAAAAAAGAAGGAACTATAACTTCTCCCTACTACTTCTGTACTTTATTCAACACCAAAATGATGATATAAATGTCTATAAGAAATGCAAATTTAGCATCACTAATGTGGTTTATGCAACCCAGCAGTAAAGTAAAATTTTTAAATTACTATGTTTTAAAATATACTTTCATAGTTTTGTTATGAAATATTAGATAAATTTACATTTTTAAATAATTATATTTTCCGAGGAAAATTAAATTGTTTGTATAAATTTATTTTCATCAGGCAAATTTTGAAGATAAAACTATTTAAAAATTTATTTAAGGTTATTATTAATGTGGCTTTGAACAGAGGTTAACCTTTTTTAACTCGCAAACCTCCTCTAAAATTCTAAGGAAATTGTCAAGCTCACAGTATTGTGCGTCGTAACAGGTAAGAAAACAAAATTTATTTTTAACATTCGTTTAGTTTGTTAACGAAAAAATAATAGTCATAAAATATCTTAGTCAATAATTATTTAGTCACTTAGACAATTCTATTGTTTTTATCTGCACGTGTAGCGCAAGAATAATATGTTTACTGAAGAAACAAATATTTTGAATTTGTGGGCTAATAGTTATCGACCCTGTAAACCTTCATCTATGAAAAGGTACCCTTTTATAGAATCGAGTTAGCATGTCTTAGTGAATTGGAATTATATTTTTGCAGTGGTAGACACACTACAAACTTATTTAGAATACCAATTGTGAATACATAAAAAAATATATTTATGTTCAGAAACAAAATTCTGTAATTGCAATTTATGATTCTATGTGTGGTGGGAAATCACCCGTTAAGTATCATCCATGTTGTAGTTTTAGTCTGAAAAACTGTACTACACATCACAAGATACGTCGTTAAATTCAATAGAAAAATAGTAGAAAAAGTTTTTTTTTTCCACTCACCTTTAAAAGCGTCATGTGAATGTTTATGACGATTCCATACTTAACTTCAAAAAAATGTGGAGATTTTTCACGCGGAAGCAACCTAAAAAAAATAAGAACATATCGTTATTGGGTGACCATTTTATCTTCTACTATATGAATATGTACTGGTATAAGTGACAGTATTAAGTACAAAAAAATTATTTCTTAAGTATTTCTGTTACAATATATTAAACTTTATTTAAAATTGTGAATTAAATCGCAAATGTTGTTGCTGTTATCGTAAGCTATTAAGGCATTAGGGGTGTTCTTGTTTTTCAGTAGGCCAAAAATTCGACTTCCGTCATACCAGTTTATAGGGCGGACCCATTCACGCATTCATCCGCAGATGGTAATTTTGACCTGAACCAGAGAACGATAGATCTCCAATCCAGTACCCCCAGAGGCATAATTTGTTATAGGAATGGAGGACTTTGTGACCCGACTGAGACATTTACTGCAGGGGAAGTCTTCGGTCGGCTGTTATTGATCTCACGAACGGGAGTCTAGCGTTCTACCGACCAGGCTATCCCCCATTACACAGCACCTTTATAGAGCCTTTGTGTTAATGAAATAGTTTTTAATGGGTAGGATTAAAAATATAATAAATTAGTATGAAATGCTTTACAAAATAACAGCGTAATGTCTCATGAAAATCTGTCATTTTTAATGTCTCATGATCTATTGCTTTTTGAGAGCTTCTATAAGTGTTTTGAAACTGCTTTTATTGATTTACAGCCAGTTTTCTTGGAAAAAATGAAAGAGCATTTCAATATGGAAAAGATTTCAGATTTTCAGAAAAAATCTGGTTATTTTTATTATAGTATAAAAGGAAAGTTATCGCTGCATATATTTATTCATTAGTTTAAATAATATTCCCTTATATAATATCTTGAATAATATCTCTCGCACCGGAAAATAGTTTATCATAAAAAAAAAGATAAATTTATCTCGCCAATTTTAATACGAGTTAAGAAAATAATTATTTTGACACATTGTTGTTAAGATGATTATGGAGTTAATTATATGCATCAACCTTATGTTAATTACAAACATACGAGTGATTTACTTGAGAGAGAAATACTTCAAAAATTATTAAGGTAGAAAGAGTCTACATGTTTCGAGCATTCAAAATAAAAGCACCCATTCTCAAGATCCACCGGATGTTAATGATGAAAGCAAAACAGATTTGAAAATAAAAACTCAAAACTAAAAAGTTGTCAACGAAAAAAAAAGTCACATAGTAGTATAAATTGAAATTTCTATTTTTTACTTTTTCGTTGGCAACTTTGCGTTTTTAAAAAAAAATCTATTTGGGTATCTTCAATAACATCCTGAGAGTTTTGAAAAAAGCCATTGTTTTGAGTCCTCGAAACATGTTGACCCTCTTCATAATTTATGATGGGTGCATTTCCATTTCTGAAGATATGTTATGCAAGCAATAGTTGATTTTTTATTTAGACATTTAGTTTAGGATAAGGATTATTGCACGCATTTTCTTCTCTCGACAGAGGCAAAGAATTTCATAGTTCGAAAACACTGAAAATTCCACCATTTTTAGGCCTTGTACAAATAATATCCAAGTTCCAAAATTATACTAATTACATTTTTTTAAACCAAGAGTCAATTATGAAAATTTTAACTCTAGTATTTTAAATGTGAGCATAACATCTTTAGTATAATGCGAAAGAGTCAGCGGCATTGACTGTGTATATAAAAGTATTATTAGGATATTTTATTCTAGGATAAACTTAAATGATTAAGTTACATTAGGATTAAGTTATTAAGAAAACTAATACTGAAAAATGTATTAGGAAAACAAATTCTGAAAAATGTATTAGGAAAACAAATTCTGAAAAATATATCAAAAAAATAAATTCAGAAAATATATGTCACACGTTTTGTTTTGTATTTGATAAAGTTAACTGCGTGTCTAAAGTAATTTTGATTTTTAAAATTGTTTTACAAATAGTAAAAAAAAAGTGAAACTTAAAGCATTTTTTTTTGTCAGCAGAATAATTAGTCAAAATAGAGCAATGGAAAATGACATTTGAATTAGGAAAAATGAAAAGCCCAAAACTGGGAACAACAAAAGAATCAGATCTGTGAAATTTTTGAGGTCGGAAAAATACTTTTTTACACTTTGGTAACTTTCATGATCTTTGAGGTTAAATTTATCAAAACTATATAAATAAAAAACAACAAATAAATGTTCGTAAAAAAACACGTTAATATACATTTTTACATGAAACATAAAATTTTGATTATTGTTATTATCTCATAAGTCCAATAATCTCAAAGCACATTACAATAACATATAGCATTAACTAAAAAAAGGTATGTTATACATATTGAGATAAATGCAAGACATTTTAATCCTTCTTATAAATTTGGTTAATATGTATGATAAAAAATGTATTGAAATTGTAAAAAATTTATTGTCTTTAAAATGTATTGAAAGAAAGGTTACAAGAATGGATGATTCTGATTTCATATACAGGCTGATTTCGAAGTCTTAATTTATTCAATTATTTAATGGTAAGTTAATTAATAATTATATTAATAATTATGGTAAGTTAATTAATAATTATGGTCTATCGATTTGAATCGATAATTATAATCCACTGATTTGAATGAGTTGATTCATATATTTAAATGAATAGATTCAAGCTTGGAGAATCCAATAAGGAGATTCATAGTTAAGTGGCACGAATCCAGGATTCTGTTTCAGAGTTCTGTTCAACGTCATCAGAGTTTTGCTTCGTTTATTCTCGATCAAATCAGGACTTGAATAAATGTGCTTATTTGAATGAGTGAGAAATATTCCAAACATTGAATTAAATTTAAATTTGTTCGTTATTTAAATCAGCGATTCAAATCTCTAACAGTCCCTGGCGAAATTATTAGACGCATTGTAAGATTCTATGTAAAATCTTATCAGGTGATACTCTACAACTTCAGTGCTTTTACGCAGCTGAAAACGGTTTACTCTTGTTTATGTTCGTGTATTAATGGGTTACGCAATAAGTTAAAAATAAATATAAATGGGAAGTGCATAAAAAATCTCCTCTAAAAAAAAACCCCATTACATTTATGTTTAAATATAAGAGTATCGCATATAAGCTCGTGCAAAACATGCAAATATTAAAACACTAGAGTGCATCTCATCATTTGGTCTAATTATTATAACATACCACTTTAATATCTGATATAATAAATATTCTATATTTATATAATATATCGTCTCATTTATCCAATTGTCGAATTTATAATCTATATCGTCTAATTTCACCAATTTATACGCGAATGTTAAGAAGTTCAAACCGGTTTCAGTCTTGTTAAAGCAATAAAGTTGTATATCATCGCCTAATAATTGCGTATTTACATAGAATCGTATAGTGAGTCTAATAATTTGGCCAATATTGCATTAAATCAATTATTCATATCGGTTAGCTAAAATAGTTGCTGTTTAGAATGCCTTTATTTGAAGATTCTAATCAGTTCACAATTTTAAATTATAATTCTATTGAGTTAATTAAATCTAAGCTAATTAAATTATTTTTGTATAATTTCTAGTGCTCTTCGTCACAATCTTAATTTTAAATCATTTTTAATTAACATATTTTAAATGCAATTTCAAAATCAAATTCTTATTTCAAATGTTTGATGTAAATATATTGACTCGAATCAGTTGATTTGAATCATGGAATATAATTTGTAGATTTGAAGAAGTTGATTTAAAAGATTCTACTCATTTAAATTAACTCGTTTGTTACTTTAATCAACGATTTGTATTTATTAAGTGGACTGATTCGGTTTATTAAAATATCTTTTTGCGCACAATTTTATCCTGTACAGTTCAATATCGTACAATCTCATCTGTTCGAATTGTACAATTGGGTACTTGCAACTAATCACATGGTTGTGTCTAATCACGTGATTGTGTATGGCACGTGAACGTTACTGCTTTAAGGCTTTGGTTATCACTAAGGCCCGGATTTTGATGACATTTGCATTTTTTTGCATTTTTCGCATTTTTGGACATTTTTTGTCCTTTAGAGCATTTTTTTAGATTTATAGGGCATTTTTTTAAAAATTTTGGGGCGTATTTTGCATTTTAAAGCATTTTTTAAGGTTTTTGGTAATTTTTTCCAATTTTTATTTTTTTTTGGGGTATTTTTATTACATGAAATGCAAGATTTGTCTCATAATTTTACATTTCATATTGTAACTCTCAAAAAATGTTTCAAAGCATTTGCTCCTAGTCAGCTTTGCCCCCTAAACCAGTAATCACACGATGAGGTATCTGGTTGGATGCATGCGTATACTACAGTGAAAATTTTAAGATAGTAAAGTCTATCGTCAGTAGTTTTGATTCAGAAGATGCTGAACCAATTAAGATAGCGCTAAACGTGTTCGCTTCTGATAAAATCAAAGGAAATTTAGCATTTATCAAGTCTAACTTTGCTATTGTGTCCTCGACAATTACAAGCTTGGAGAAACACGAACTCGAACTTAGCAATGCAATAAATTATATTGATGTACTGAGTCGAGTGTTGCAAAAAGCAAGGGGAAAAATAGGACAAAGTATAGCAGCTAAATTGAACAAAGTTTTGGAGAAGAACACTGGCTTCCAAACAATGAAGAAAATCTCTAGGATACTAACAGGTGAAGCAACAACTTTTCAAATTGAAGAAGAATTGTCAGTAAGTGAGACCGTCTTTTTCAAGTACGCACCATTAACATCAGTAGACATTGAAAGAAGCTTCTCCAGTTATAAAAATTTACTTTCAGACAAGAGACGCTCGTTTACATTTCAAATTATCAAAAAACATTTAATAATCCAATGTAATTCTGATATTTAGTAATATTATGAGATGGAAGTTGTTATATCCATTAAAGTTTCTATACAAAATAAAAATATTTTGGTGTCAATATATTTTCCTTTTTTTGTTATTTTAGGATATAAAACATATTTTTCAAACTTTAATGAACGTAGAACAAGTATTGCATTGCTTTATAGTTTTTGAAATGACTCATAATTTTAAAGAGTAAAATATTGTT